CTTTATTTCTTTACAGACGTCACACTCGATACTATGGAGGTTATCACAACAGCCATAAAGTCATCAGCTGGCTGTGGGACATTGTCACAAATAACTTCACTCCCCAGGAGAGAGGTTTATTTCTCAAGGTAGTTAACAACTTGTAGTCAAAAATTTTTATCAAATCAAACAGCTTTAAAAAGACCTAAAGCAATGTTAATGCATACATATTGTGCTTATGAGAAAGAGATCCTGACAGGTCTATCTGTCTGATATAAGAATCTATCATGAGTATCCATTTGGAATAAGGAAATCTCACCAGAGGGGTGGATATTTTTGTGTAAGGACCAGGCTTGTCAAGTATCTGAGTTTACGTTCCCTGATGATGGATTATTTCTCTTCCATTTATGGTCTTCGAATTATTAATGCTTGCTGATTGATGATTGCTTGAAACACAATAGCACACAAGAATGAAATGGTGAGGCATGCACGGTCAGAAAGATTATACCTGAAAACACTTTACACTAAAGTGTACATTTAAACTGAAAAATTGTCTTTTTTTTTTAGAAATAAGAAAAATCTACAGAGCTTAATTTCTTTCCTAATTGTTTTCCAAAGTGTAAAGTGTTATGTCAAAGGTGTGAGGTAGGCATATCTCACATGGCTTTCTCACATGGGAGAATCCTATCATACAATTAGGCAATAAAGAAATATTTTTCATGTACTTGCATCATACAGCTTTGTTCAAGTAAGATTAGACTGAATGAGATCTACATTTTTTTTTCAGTTTGTGACCAGTTGCTCTAAGCCTCCATTACTAGGCTTTGCTCATCTGGAACCCCCTTTCTCTGTCCGCTGTGTAGAAGTCAGCGATGATCAGGTATGTACTGATGATTCCGGTCAAACACTTTTATTTTCAGTGATCTTTTGCATTTCTCCAGAGGAATGAACATTGATATTTTTAATTATTAATACAGGTACATGTGATTATGAACTTTTCATTTGTATCATCAAAAGTGTTTGTGGAATATGCCTTAAACTTTCTCATTCAGATTCAAACAATTGAGAATAGATTATGGTGAATTTAATTTGAATCATGTCTACCTTTAAATCAAAAATTGAACAGCTATATTAATTCATGTATAGTAACTTTTATGGTAATTTCCAGATTAGCTACAAGTTTGTCATACTGTATATAGAATTATTTTTGCCCATATTATTTCGCTCTTTCAAACTTGCAATTATTGTCGCAAACCACGGCCAAAATGTATGATCCTCTCCCATTCTGGCCATGGTTGAATGAGAAGAGAATATTTCACAACTTATTAAAATATTGACCAATGCGAGTAAAGAATAGTCGGATAATGAAGTTTGATGCAACCTTTCAATACCCAATCACAGTATACAAAACATTTCTTGTATACTGTTGATGTCAATTGTTGGCTGAACATGATGTCACAATATAGAGGCATAAATATTCAAGATAACGGCACATTTTGTGATCAAGCAGCCGCAGGTATGAGAGAGCTATGTGTGGATTCCGGACTGTGGCTTGAGACGATGACTTGCAATCAACTTTGCTAAGGTTTAAATTCACCCAGTCACAGTTGTGTAATAAAGATGATGTCCAATTTGAATTTGCCCCATTTTAAATTCATGATCATACACTTGTGACAAGGGCAATAGAGGCAAAAATAAAACAGTGGCTAAAAATTTCTCTGTATATTATAGTAATTATCTTTATAGGAAACAATTATAATTTCTTTACCAGGATACAGGAGATACGGTAGGGAGTGTTCTTAAGGGATTTTTCAACCTCAAGAAGAAAGACCCCATAGGGCGCCTCCCCACCTCCTCAACCTGCTTCAACCTCCTGAAGCTGCCAAACTATCAGAAGAAATCCACTCTCAGAGACAAGCTCAGATATGCCATTACTTCTAACACAGGATTCGAGCTTTCTTGAGATCCTGATGAAAAATGACGTTAGTACCAAGCAAAGGATTGACACCGATTTCTGGAGTGTACTGCACAGGCTACCAATAGATTCACTAGGACTTCATGTTTTCTAGTGACCCTGATTAGCTCATTAGGTGTGGTTTGAGCTTGCCAGAACATTATGAAATGAACAGCAGCACAAAATTGTATCAACAGTTTTTGCACAGTCATGACATCTAAATGCTTTCTATTGCAACTTAATTTACTGTGAAGTGTCATGGACTAAACTGGGGAATTCTGTACATAGTTTGGGCTTTAATTCATTTAATTTGTGAAGGAGAATCTTCAGAGAAATTAGAATCTTGATGAGTGACAAAAGTTGTATGCTACAAAATTTACTACTTACATTACTTACTAGCAAACGTTGAAATTGATGACACAGGAAATTACAGAGGGGCAAATCAATGAACATTTAACCCCATGAAAATCCATTGTTGTACATTAATCATTCTATGAAATTAAGGTTCACCTCTCTATATTTTGTGTTGTCTGTGATATTATATGACTTTGATCAGCATTTAGTGTACAAGACCTTAAGTTAATGAGAATTGTACAGAATATAACTATATATATATATATATATATATATATATATATATATATATATATATATATATATATATATATATATACATGTATATATATTACTAGAAATACATAGCAGATTCGTTGTGTGGATTAAGCAACTATATTATATGATATGGCCATTAATTATTTTAACAACTGATTGAAACAAAATATCCGTCCACCTGGAAAAAAAAAGTTTGCAAACAAAGGAAGTATTAAGGGAGATAATGCAAAGAACAAAAGTAGAACTGGTTTACAGATATGTACTAAAAGATTTCAAAAATGTTTGTCTTGATGTTGAAAATGAAATTGTTATGTAATTGGATGTAGATTATGATGTCAGCACTATTTTTGTTTTCTTGAAGGACCAATATTTGTTTTGACTGATCATGCTTGTATTTTGTTATATTGGAGATTTATAGATACATAAATGTGCACTGGTATTTAAATATGTCCCCCCCCCCCCCCAAGATATCTGACAAAGTGTTTTCAAGATAGACACTTTACTTATTTTTTTTATTACAAATGGGATTCAACTATGAAAAGTATGTTTAATTTCAATTAAGCATCCCAGTGCATTTCAATATCACAGTATTTTGTTTAAGTATCAAAAGTTTTGTCTTCAAGCTTTTATAACATGTTTCTATGTGATCTTTAAAATTTTGTTTTCTGATAAACAACTTATTTATGACTAAAAAAAAGAATTCATTTTCTTGTCATCAATTACATCATGTAACCATGTAACAATCACCAAGTCACTTTACCCTTGTTGTCTTTCAGTGGAGAAATAAAACTTGTATGAAACTAGATAAAGACTTGTTTTGCTTACTCAATACATAAAAATTGAATTTACCATAGAATTTCAGATCTAAGCCAAGGTCATGCAGACATGACAAACATTTTATCCTCATTTCTTAATACGGAAACTGAAATATATATTTATTTTTTCTGATCTTGTTAAAAAAAATATCTTTTGTATTATATACTGGTAGACTTCAAGACCACCTACATGTATAATACACTCTTTTCTATGCATTAATTACTGAAAGATGTGAGAGTTACCAGGTAGTTAGAGACATAAAGTTCTACTGTATAGATATTTATTGACTGAGACCTTCCCAGTGTCTTTTTGACCTTATATCCTAAATTTCCTCATGCTTTGTTCAACTTCCCAAATTCATGTAGAATTCCTACACCCAACTTTAAAATATCTCTCTTGTTTAGTTTTTCTATGTGTGACATGACTTCAATAACATTTCTTTTCTTGATCTTTTTTAATATCTTTAAAGGATTCCATACAAGTTACATTTTTTGCCAGATAGTTGTGACTGTTACTTTAATTTCATATATACCAAGCATAACTGACCTCTGATCATCTTTATAAATTGATGAAGCGTTTCAATTAATGCATATCTTAAATACATAACATCAAAAAAATTTTCATATTGCATTTCACTAAGTCTTGGAACCATTTTCATCATCAATTCAAAATTCTATGAACTTGACCTTTCCTATGGCATTTACTTAATTTTCTGCAGCGCAAGTACATGTATAGCATACTACATGTATAGTGTATGTAACATACACGTCGTAAGTTCACATATTTAAACTTTTGACACGATTTGAATTGATGAAGTACTTTATCATCTACATATCTTCTTTTGCGATAACGACTGTGGTGACTCCAGCAAACCAAGTCAAAAAATTCAGATATATTATTTTGTAGATTGAAGAATTTTCATTGCTCAATCACATATGTACACAAAATAAATCATTCTAGAAGTGGAAAATATTGTGTCTGTTTTGCATAGAATTTTTATTTGGATTACTCACACAATTCTGTCTTCTATATTATTTATTTATAAATGTCTCCAATAAAACGACTCCCTCTCTGAGACTGCTAATACCAGGAATAGTTGATATCACAGTTTTTTAAACATGTTTATGGAAATTATAAAATTTTGGTTAACCCATTTAAAGGTTTCAATAAAGCACTGCACTCAAATTACATAATCTTACAATACAACAGAGAAGCAGCAAATTTTTTGATAGAATAATATATTATCCACCATGCTTGTGGTAAATGGAGCTATTTTCCTTCTCTCCACATAGTGCAAAGTAATGGACATGAATACAGGGATAATTTTTATATTCCTAGTCAGGTTTAGTACAAATATATATTCATAATGGCACTTTTTTTAAGACCCTGCGTTGAACCACATTTATTGATTGTCAGGAACATTTTGTGAAGATGTGTTTAACCAAGTGTCCATGACACTTGTAATGATTGACAGATGAAATAACTGACCATTTGATTGTCATCATGCCGCGATAAGTCCGATAGAATTGTTAAAATACCTGCAAGTTAAAAGGACAAGCATTTCACTGTTGTTACTCACCAACCCAGTGTCAAGTGGAATTAGCATGATTATATACGTAACGTAGGGTTTAATGATCAAGATTTATTTGTATACCCTGGCATTTATGTTTTATCAATACAATATATATGGTGTCTGAGGGATGTTGGAAGTTTACCATTGTTTCAAAGACTGGCCATCTATAACCATGCTGCAGTCAAGCTGAATGGAGTTATCCCAGGGTAAAATTTTATACTGATTTCTTGCTTTAATAATTTTCTGCTTTTTTGGACCAAAAAGATAAAATACACGAAATGAATGTACATGTAAAGATGTAGAAAATTTTAAGTACATGCAGTGTACTTTTAAATATTTTTTTTGCACTTTGGCAATCATGCAGCTCATGTAATCAGTAATGCAAACATGTAAATGCATTTGAATATGCTTTAAGCTTTAATCACAATATGGTTAATTCTTAATTTAAAGTTTCTTATCCAAAGAACATTTATTTTAAAAAAAAATAATGTAAATGCCTGACATATACAGTTATCTAAAGTTGTACAGTACACCAACATTAATTAATATGTAAATCTTTTTTTTTCCTCACAACTTAATTTTTTTCTCCAATTTACAGTGCATTTATGTAGAATATATTATGTTCATTGTGTATGAGTCTTCAGGGCTGTAATGGGAAAAAAGATTAACCTGTGACAAAGTGTCTTTTTATTGGCCAGACATGTCTGTATTTTACGATTTGTTCTGTAATTTGTCACTTTTTATCACCTGTGGACAAAATTTAATGCATGCATTGCATGTACCTGGCAAAAATCAACTGTACTGACCCACACTGTGAAAATTAACACGTTTTTCTGCATAGCAGCGCCATGAACATTAGCATATAATTGTAATTATCCTGCAGTTCATAAGAAATAACACTTAAAGACCTGGCTCACAGCTGGCCTTTATTTGATCAATAGCATTACCAGTGAAATATTGATATTTTTATTTTCTTTTACAACCTTAAGATTTTGTAAACAGATGTTTTTACGGCCAGGTAAAATCTGAAATTAATGTCAGGAGATACGTCAGAATGCATGTTTTTAAAAATGAAATTTGAACTGTCTTACTACGAAAATCCATTGTTATGAACTTCATTGTTGCCTGACACTATTGAAACAAAGTACATGTACTATCGTTGGAGGCTGTGTTTAAATGTCCTGGTTATTCAAACATTGTCCTGGTCAGGAGTCATTTACAGGTACAGATAAACCTAAACTGATGAATGCTTGAAAATTTCTATTTCTAGGGGTTTGAAGTGGATCATAGAGAAGGTATAAAATATATGGCCTTACTATCACAGGTCAAGATGGAAAAGACCAACAATCAAGAAATTCTGAAAATAATCTACAGATCGAGGTAAATATTTTTGATGACACAACAACCACCAGAGTGTTGAATCGGTGAAAGAAAAATGAGATTTACAAATTTCCGATGGAAATTACTTGGACTGCTCGTTGGTGTTATTTTTGTGTGGAGTTTGTCAAGTTCCAAAGGAAATCAGAATGAATTCTCTGAAGAATTTGAGTTTCCAAGGTCTGTGTGCAATGATAGTGGGGATAATATATATGTCAATCATTTTTATCTCCATAACAACCCAAAGAACCGAAACCACTCATATTCCTTGAGGGCACAAAACCCCTTCAGTATTCAAAACCCTGGATTGTGTTTTGAAGAACACTCATTGGATTTTCTTATTCTAATCAACACAGAACCTAATCACTTTCTTCGGAGAAAAGTCATTCGTGCTACATGGGGAAATGTGAATTTACCTCAGTATCAAAAATTTGGAAATTTCAAGATTCTCTTCATTGTAGGCCATTCAACCTCTAAAAAAATTCAAAAAGCCATTGAAAAAGAGGCAGCACAGTATGGTGATATTTTACAGGGAAGGTTCTCAGAGGCACCGAACAATCTCCCACAAAAAGCTCTGATGGCCTTGAGATGGACAGCCGAATATTGCCTCAAGGCCAAAATGATCATCCGCATCCAGGACACTGTGCTTCTAAACATGTTCGAAATTTTACGAGAATACAAACCCAAATATTCCTGTACCAAAAATTTATTAATGTGTAAATTCATCAAAGAGAGGATAAAATTCATGGATTATGAAAAACTAAAAAGGATGAAACTGACTCCCACCATTATCCACTGTGTTGGAAAAGCTGTGATAATGACTCGAGATATGCTTATCTCCCTTTACCATGCCGCCCCACATATGACCCCATACTGGTCAGATGACATGTATATATATGGAATGTTGCCGGCTCAGATTCGGCAGAAAACTCTCAAACCTTTGCGACTTTATGAAGGAAATTCTGATCAAGCAATAGACTGCTATGAAACAAATCTACACAACTGTGGATTAGTTGCTATTGATACCCAAACAAGAAGCCATCACAATATTATATGGTCTCATATCAAACATTACTTTGCATAATGTTGGCATTTAATAGTAATGGTGATATTTCGTTTTATTGACTTCCGCATTCTTTTATGGCCCTTTATTACCAGGCTTTTCTCATATTTCTATTCCACTCCTTAGATGGCAATCAAACCAGCCTAAATGATAAATTTTTATCACCTCAATTTTGTTATTAAAATAACTAAATCAAGCATTTATATTTCCAATACAGAGGCATCATTAACTGCTGAATTGGGCAATGAACTTAATTTGCTTTTTTATCTGCGACATAAAACTTGTTCAAACATTTATCAACACCAGTGTACCTGCATTTTTTTTAAATGTAACATTTGTGTTCCATTTTAACTTTACTGCTGTGCAGTAACTATAATTTGAATAAAAATTAAGACTGAAACTTGTGAACATAATAATTTACACCAATTTCAAAATTTCTAATGGAGATGAGAGGTTTTAGGAAAATATCACTGAATAAATATATAAATTGAAATATATTAAACTCTGTAAAAGTTATTTTAAGTGTAATTGTTGTTGGATCTGTAAAATATTATAATACCTATTTCAAAGTTAATCCCTACTCCTGTTATGGGCAAACATTTCTTACCCTATCAGGGTAGCAGAATTTCTACTCAGGATAACTCTGCTTCTTGGTACAGGTGCAAGAAGACATAGCTCATAAAGGCCAACATGCCTTGCCCTTATCATCATGTATCAGGTGCTAGTGGACAAAGCTAATGTAAGCAAGCTAAGTGCCCTTAACCTTCATGTATCAGGTGCTAGTGGACAAAGCTCACATAGGCAAGTATTCCTTGCCCTCAGCCTTCATGTTTAAGTGATAGTGGACAGAGCTCATATAGGCAAGCATTCCTTGCCCTCAGCCTTAATGTGTCAGTTGCTAGTGGAATTGGCACATATAAGCAAAAAAATTTTATGTCTCAGGTGCTAATGAGCATGTTTAACATAGGCAAGTTTCACTAGCCGTCAGCATGCAGTTTATTTATTTCACAGAGTAATTTCTATTTTTCATCAATCAAAATTTGAGCCTTCTTTTTTGGTACTGATAATAGATACCAATATTTTTTTAATCTGGAACTGGACCAAGAGAGAACTTCATTCAAATATCTGAGGGTTTCAGATACTGAGGTTAAAATACATAAACAAGAGGTCAATGGGCCACATCGCTCACCTGAACACTATGGCTAGGAAAAAACAGAAATCGGTTCAGCTTTGAAAAGTTTAAATATATAATTGGTCCACCACCAAACCTAACCACCCCCCTCCCCCAGGCAGCAAGAGGAGGGGGTGTCATGATTTGAACAGACTTGAATCTTCACTAACCAAGGATGCTTCCATATTTCTTTGACTTATCATGGTTTTATAAGATTTTTAAAGGACTTTTTTCTATGCTGGTAAGTTTGATCTTCAATTGTGGCAATGCCCTATCCCTGGGATCATGATTGGAACAAACTTGAATCTACACCACCTGAGAATGCTTCTGTATTAATATGAATAATAATGGATTAGCTGTTCTTGAGAGGAGGAGTTTTAATGATTTTCTTATACATTCATATATATAACTTTGGTCCCCTGTTATGGCCCCTCCCTTCCCCAGGGTTCATGATTTGAACAAATTTGAATTTACATTACCTGAGGATGCTTCTATATTAATATGATTAATCATGGCTTTGCTCTTCTTGAGAAGAAGATTTTTAAAGATATTTTCTTTATATTCCTATGTATAATTTGATCCCCCGTTGTGGCCTTACCCTATTCCTCAAGATTTGAACAAACTTGAATGTACACTACCTAAGGTACTTCCTAATGAATATGACTATTCCTGGCTTTGCAGTTCTTGAGACAAAGATTTTTTTTTATTCCTCTGTAGAACTTTGATTGCTCATTGTGGTCCCACCTTACCCCAGGGTTCATGATTTTAACAAATTAGAATCTACATTACCTGAGGATACTTTTATATTAATATGACTAACCAAGACTTTACTATTCTTGAGAAAAAAACTTTTAAAGATTTTTCCTATATATTCCTATGTTTAACTTTGATCCCAAGTTGTGGCCTCACCTTACCCCTGGGGTCATGATTTGAACAAACTTGAATCTACACTACCTGAGGATGCTTCCTTATAAATATGACTAATTATGGCTTTGCTGTTGTTAAAGGGAACATCTTTAAAGATTTTTTTCTATATATTCCTATGTAAAACTTTGATCACCCATTGTGGCCATACCCTACCCACAGAGGTCATTATTTGAACAAACTTGAATCAACACTACCTGAAGATGCTTCCATTTACATATGATCTATCATGGCTGTGCTGCTCCTTGGACGAAATTTTTAAAGATTTTTCCAATGAATTTCTATGTAAAATTTTTTCTCCCATTGTGGCCCCACCCTACCCCAAGGGTCATGGTTTAAACAAACTTGAATCTACACTACCTGAGGAAGTTTCATCTTCCCTGGCCAAGTGGTTCTTGAGAGGTAGATTTTTAAAAGATGCCTATAATTTTTTCTCTAAGTTGTAATTATCTCCCCTTGAACATAGATATGGCATTTTATTGAACAAACTTGAATCCCCTTTACCCAAGAATACTTTATGGTAAGTTTGGTTAAAATTGGCATAGCAGTTCTTGAGAAGATGAAAATGTGAAAAGTTTACAGACAAACAGATGGACAGACAGACAGACACTGGACAAACTGTGGTCAGAAAAGCTCACTTCACTTGAGCCTTCAGCTCGGGTGAGCTAAAAACTGTTCTGACTTCCAATTCAGTAAGACATTTCCACGGTATTCGAGATATTGATGTCCAAGATAACACAGTTCGACTGTAATTATCCAGTTGCATGAGCCTTAAAGGCAAGTTTAACCAATTAGATTTAATAAAAAGATTAAACTTAAAATGCTCTTCATGTTTTTTTAAGGTAATGAATTAATCTCTTCAAATAAGAAAGGAAACAAGTGAAAAATCGTACAAATAACATCCAGTAAGTCAATAACGTATTCCTATAAAGAGCCAATTTGCTAAACTCAGGCCCCACAATCCAATGCTTTCCACCCATCTCACAAATGTTTGTAATTTGATATAACTTGTTCCAAGGTAGCAAACCCATCCAGAAAATCATCCTCAGTAAGTCCATGTTTTGCATACTGGTGCACATAAGCTCTCGCAGAAAACATGTCCCAGGCTTTACCCACCATAGCGTCCATCTCTCCCACAGGTGACTTACTGTTCGAGATCAGAGATGCAGATTTCTCATAGTGATTGAAAGCTCTTGGTTGTACGCCTGTCATCAGAGTGGCATCTGGTGGAATCCACGGAACATAGAGGGCAGAGTCTGAGAATGGTCCAGTGTCTGCAGATACTGATTCCTTGCCTCTCAGTAACAGAAGATTGGCCAGAGAAGTGTTGTGTTGAGATCCTCGGGAACTTACTTTGACTTGCCAATCAATACCTGTATAAAAAAATTAATTCAATATTGATGCAGAATTCTTATAAAATCTATTATACACTTCATAAGTTTTTACACAATTATGAGTAAAATTGATAAAAATGGAAAAATATGTTTTGTATATGTATACCAGAGTTGTGCCCCTTGTCACAATATTTCTTCATTTATATACAATCTTGTGATCAGCATGACTAACCAAAAACAAAACAAAATTTAAAAAAAAAAAAAACTAAACAAAAAAACCCAAAACATCTAGATATTCAAGGTAATGATGTTGAAACTTGTATAGTTGAATAGTTAAAACCATGATATCACCTCAACATACCCCATGTATGCCAAATTATCGTTCAAAATACTGAATCAAATTTCCAATGTACAAGAAGACAAGAATATAGAATTATTCATTTAGTGGCAAGCACATGAATAAACTTTAAGTAAAACTCAAATTTTTAAAAATAACTTACCCTCTTCCATCGGAGCATCAGAAATCAGCATTTGTCGGAGGTGCTTCAGCAGACCATGCCATTGGTACGTGCTGAACTCCTGGGCCGCTGCTGACATCTGGGGAATGTTTTTGATGGTCAGGAGTTTATAATCTGGATGTGGCACTAGATGTTCCAACATTTCACCTTTATCAAACAATATACATGTCAACAGTGTCACAAGATCATGAAAGCCTAATCTATGTGAGAACCAATCACATGTAATACATAATCTAAGGTACAGTAAAACTTATTTATACAGAATCATCACTGCACTGACCACCCAGTTAAGTAAAGTAAAACACTTGAGAAAATTATACAATATTACATTAATATACAGCTCTAATACTATGTAGAATTTTTACTGTGGTTCACCCTAAATGAAGCTTGGCATTCATGTACTTTAGCTAGTAGGTTCTCATTTTTTAGCAAATGTATCAAATAGGAAGCCAATAATGAATCAATCATTCCAGAAAATTAATGTTTCATAAAATCAAAGGATAAAGTCATATTCAGTTGTTAAAAACCTTAATTTTTACCTGTCCATAAATTTCTAGCTGTTCTTAAATAAATAAAATATTACCTATAGAATTAGAACAAATATCCCCTGTGAATTTGTTAAGTGGACATGGTTGCAGCATAGTGGCTAATTTATGGCAGATGACTTTGTTAATGTCTTTGAATGAAATCTTCTTAATGTTCAAAAGTTGCTGACATATCTTATGAAGATGGTCATTTTCCATGACAACAATCGCATCCACAGTGTGATATAACCGTGACAACGTCAAGAGAGCATTATAATTCTGCACAATGACTTCTCCAGTTTTATATGGCCACACCACTTGGTTCATGATAAATGCATGTGGAAATTCATCTCTCAAACAACGAGTCACATATGCCCCCACTCCTGATCCTGTGCCTCCTGCAAGACTCATAAGGGACAAGAATCCTCCAAGGTTATCACATTTTTCTGCTTCACGTCGGACTAATTCCATAACTGTGCTCTGACATGCTGGTCCGTGGATGCAGTAGCCATGGGCCCAGTTGTTGCCTGATCCTCGCTGCTGGCAGTAATTCTGTTTCTCTGAGTAGCTCCATCTCCCTGAACGTTTGGCATCCTGATATGTTTGAGCTATCACCTTGAAATCATTTACATTGGCATATAAAATATTTCTTAGTTAATTTTAAGTTTAGCCTGGAAAAAAGGATAAATTATATTCTTTTCAAACATTTCAATTTCATAAAGTTTTTCTACTTATAAAAGAAAAAAATCTATGAAATATATACTTTTATGAATTTTCACTTTGATACAACCTTTGGCTATATACTGAGTATCTTTAGCTATACCTTTGGCTCCATGTCCACCATGACAGCTCGAGCTTTTGGAGTTCCCTCCCCTGATTCTCCACAGTAAAAAAATCGGGACAGAACCTCACTTTTGTACTCATCGTTTTTGTCAGGAGCCACCTAAAAGTGATAATGAAAGTCTACATATATTTTTTTAGAATGCCAAATTATATATTAATTACAATTACTTTTCTGCTCACATAAGAAAGACCATAACAGTGGATGTAAAAACGTTTTTAAAAGGGCACAGTTAGTCTAATTATCCCAAATTTGCCAAAGAAGTTTAATCTTTTTAAGTCTGCTCTATCTGTTGGCGATATTAAAGAAATCTAAGTCCTGGATATGTCAAGTATACAGTCATGCCTCGCTGACCCAGATGCTGTGTTCCCAAGAAAATAGTCCAGATTAATGAAGCTCCTGGATTACTGAATGATACCTTTTATATTTAGTAGAAATAAATGTCACAGGTGAGGGAGAAGAATGTGACAGATAAGACAGGGATTCGAACCCAGGCCCCCTGGATCTCCAGTCAGGTGCTCTACCAAATGAGCTATCTGGCCACTGGCAATCAAACCAGTCTAGCTGCCACATAAATATAAATTCCAATATTCCCACAAATTTTGTCCAAAAGGTAAAGCATCAAGATTTATCATTATTGTTTACAGATGGAGGCTGCATGTACCGGGGTATATCCAGCAAATCATCACATACAACACATACTACATGTACTAGTTAGAATAATCTGTGTCTCGTGTCAGAACCGTAGGACATTTATCATTTAAACGATAGAACACTCTATCTAAACACATGCTGGCCTCTAATAACTGACCTGTGTAGCTAGTGGTTTAGAATGGACATCATCCATAAATGTATGGAACAGCTGACCACCAATTTGGTTTCCGCATTGTCCTAGTTGTACTGTAATTATTGACATTATCATGTATTTCCATCCCCTATTTGTTCATTTGTTCTGCAAAGTGGATCGATCTGGCATACTTTTGGTTCGTTCGATGATCTGTTGAATATTACTTCAGTTTCTATGCCCGTACCCACTTCTCTAAGCTAAGGAATACAAATTACATGTTACTAATTAATTGCAGAGTTCATTTTCTCCAACATGTGAAACAACAAATTGATATACAGTTGAACTTCGGTGTCTTGAACACTGATATCTCAAATACCATGGATATGTCGAAGTGATTTGCAAATCCCAACCGCTATTCCTAAAGTATTTTACCCTGGATATCTTGAATACTCGGATATCTCGAAGTATTTTCTTGGTCCCATCGAGTTCGAGAAAACGAGGTTTCATTGTACATGATATATAGATGATTTAGTTGAAAGGCATACACAGTTGATTTAATTACCATAATAAAACTTTCAAAATAATACATGTAACTTTAGGCAATCGAAATAAAATGAAAATTGAAAGTAAAAGATTGATATGCACTATTACATCCTGAAACAATTCGTTCAAACGTACATTTATGGGAAGCTAACTTAGTGAGTCTCATGAAATATAAAGTGTCATGATTCCGAGATCAATGTCCGAAATTAACAGTCCCCCGTCCTTAAAACATCGTCAGAGGCTGTTTACCATCGATACGATTTTCAACCTGTCTTTTCTCCGGATTTAGTTTGGGTTTTATATTTCCCGCATTCGCGATCGCTACTGCGTTTTAAGATTAGACTAGACATGGTCAAGATGATTGCAGGATATTGACGCTGACATTATCAAAAAAAAAAAATGAGTTTGGCAAGGACGGCACTTTCCACACAACTATTTTCAGTAGTTGGCAAAGCAGCATATGTAAGTATATACACTTCCATCAATTTTTTAAAGTCATGGTGTGCTTTAAAATCACTGTCACTCAAGACAAGCTTCTTTTCATTTCGGACTTTTCAAACTAACAGATCTATCTTAGTCTTGCTACAGATTTTGGGGGTTAGTAATATTCCTATGCCCCCCCCCCCCCAAAAAAAAAAGGGAGAGAGGGGGTATACTGGAATTATCATGTCCGCCCATGTATATGTCTGAAGATGCAAGATTAAGCTCAGTGATTTTATGGATAACCTTCAGGGTTATCTCAAAGCGGCATCTGTATCTGTAAGGTATACGTTGTAGATACCAATATGGTTCCCACGTGGTGCAGTGGTCAGAGCATTCGTTATAGAGTCGTCATGTAAGGAGTTGATCCTTACATTGCAGGTTCGAATCCCACTGCGGGGCGTGGAGACTGGTCCTTCGGATGAGACTGCATGTCTAAACCATGGTCCTGTGTTGCAGTAGGTGCTGGCATAGGGGCTTGTCTTCCGGATTGTTAAATATAAAATCAATTTTAAAAATTTTGAATCTTCTTTAGTGTATTTAGAGATTCTGACACTTTCAGTCAAGAAAAACCACGTTTAAAAAAGACGTACCACACCTATATACATAAACTCTACAAGGGACGAAAGCTCATTGACCTCAAAAGAACAGAAGTTTACAAAATCGCAAGGGCAGATAATCAGTGTATAGGGAAAACTCAGAGGGTAATTGAAAGCGAATGGTAACACCCAAGGACTTCCAGTTTCCCGGAAAAAATGTTTACCGACAAGAAAAGACAGTGAAAATGATAAATACTGGCTAAAGTTTGGTTTTCAGGGGCTAAGGCGGCACCCGGAAGACATATTATTTAATGTATAACTAATTTGTTACATAATTTACAGGACACTTGCTATACAAGCGCGCTATATGTTATACCACGATTATCGCCCTTCCAAAATTACGATGCAACCATGTAAACTTCTGTTCTCCCAGGTCGATTTAGAAAAATGAGCCCCAAATTGAAGAAATTATATCCGTCTTCTGTTGATTAAACACGTGTTGATAACTGACAAACGCATCAACATTTAGGAAAATCATCACTCTATGGGACAGAACTATGGCAACGAAATAAATTAATGCTTTAGAATCCAGAAATAGGCACTGGAGTGGGTTGGGGAATTTTTTCCAAGATGAGAGCTTTTGTCCCTTGTAGAGTTATTATAGGTGTGGTACGTCTTTTTTAAACGTGGTTTTTCTTGACTGAAAGTGTCAGAATCTCTATTTTAACAACTTTTAAGTGTATTTAGAGAAGATTCAAAATTTTTAAAATTTATTTTATATTTAACAATCCGGAAGACAAGCCCCTATGGGTGCTGGCACAAAAAAGATTCCTCACTGCTCAATGGCCCTGAGTGCCAATTATAGGTATAAATTTGCAGTCCTCCACTGGCAAGTTGTGGCTTCTCCTATGAGTGGAAAATTGTCAAGAGGGACGTTAAACAACAAAAACAAACAAACAAACAAAACCAAAATGGTTCTTTTCACAACGAAATATATACAAATCAAACTTATACAAATAACACTTGCATCTGTTGGCATTTCATAGATGCATGTTTTGATTGTGACCCAAGGAGGGGGAGGGGTATCAATCGCTTTATGACAACTCTATATTTTCCTATCATTAGTCATAGCCTCATGCAGAGATAAGATAAAAAATGGGTAATGAATTTAAAGAGCCCCTTATCAGTAAAAGACTAAAACAATTTTAATTTTTGTTTTTTTAGCCAGGATATGTACCAAGTTGTAACAAAAGAATCTGGTTTAATTTCTTGAGGAGGAGAATTGAAGAGGATGTAGTTCCACGAGACTTTGAACCACAGCCTGTTGTGCAGTTTGATGATTATACAAGGAATAATCTGAAAAAAAGAACGTAAGATTCATTGAAGAGTTCTTTGGGATTTTAGTTTAACCAAGCACAGTAATTTGAAAATGTTTAATTTAAGTTTATATGTGATGAAAAACTAATTTTAATATCTTTTATACTTTTATTTATGTTCAGTAGACATAATCTGTCCTTTTAGATTCTTGTGAACCCTTTCAAGGATTTTTTAAATTTATATCCTATCAGTATAACTTGAAATTAAACGATGAGGATAATGTATATGAATGTTTTATATAGTATTTCATTCAAGATAAATGTTCTTCCAAATGCAGATCCATTCAGACCCATCGTGCTTACATGCCTCCAGAGAATGTGGAAAATATAGTGCTTCGTATTGTAAAGGGAGTATATGGAAAGGAGGTGGACATACAACATATAGATTTAGACCAAGACAGGAGAAAGAAATTTATGGTAAGCAGATGATTGTAATAATTCTTACTAAGTTTAATGGGTATCAGCTTTTATATTCCTGCCTTATAAACATATGATAATTTTGTCAGTCTGTGAATTATTTACAGTGTTTTTTTTTCTTTTAATAACTTAATCACTCTTCCCTACAATATTTCTGTTACCTGTGGCAAGGAGATTGTGTTTTGATATAGATTTATATTTGTTGGCAGGATTATTATAAGCAAAATTACCAAAGATTGATCTCATAGCTGACATCAATTGATTAAATTTTTGAAGAGACTAGGCAATTTATCAAATGTATTTTGTATCCTTTTGGGTAGATTGCTCAGCTTCTAAAAAAAAAAATGGAGATAAATTTTGAAATGACCATTCAGTAGTTGTACCACATGTGAATATTCTTTGTTTTACATATGTATTATCATGAAATTTGGTCCAAGAATTAAAAAAAAACAAACTAATACACCACTGTGTAGCATAAGTTCATCATAAATTCTTTTTATTTCATAGGTTCTTACCAGAATGATGAAGGAATTTGACCACTGTATACCGAACACTGACTTACATGATATGAAAACTATTGAGCAAGCTGTGGAATTCTTCAAAAAAGAAATTAAAGACACTTCATGTTTGGAAGATCTAACAAAAGTAGACTTACCCAAAAACCTTCACATCAACACAGAATACATTCGTTATGATCGTGACGGAAATTCACTATGGCCTGGGAAAGACGCCTTCCCAGGACAACAGACAAAAGTGTTCAGCTCCAAATTTTCTAGGAAATACAAAGTTATTGACAAATCTAAAGACAAATATAAGTACAAATTAGATAGGAAAACATTCTTTGAAGAACAAAAAGAAATCAATGATTTTATGTACAAATATGCATCAAAAAGATAAAATTGTTAGAAATTCTCAGTGTTCTTTTTCGGAAAGGGAGGGTGGGGGTTAGGGGGATTAATGCAAACAGTTTTTCTTTGCTGAAAGCAACTTGGTTTGTATTTATTCTGGAATTAAAATTTCTCAATAGATGAATCTTACATTCTTCAGTCACTTTTATGATAATTTCTCAAATATTTATTCTTAAACAGGATGTAGCAAAGCTGTGTACTGATGACTAATCATTGCAAACAAGATTTTCATGTTTCCAGTAAATTGTAACAAATGTATAGGCTTGTTAACATGGATTTTTGTGAAGAGAAAATTTGATAAAATGACCCTTTTTTGTATTCAATAAAACTACTGCTGATATTTTGCTGTCTCTCAATTCTGTTTCACAGCATAACCTGTGTCACTGAGCTGATATAACATCAATATTCATATTTTATATTTTAAACATAAGAGATTGGAATCAGTGATGTTATAATTGAGCTGTAATATTGAGATACCAAAGAAATGCTACATTGATATTATCATTGACATTTTCCTTAATTTACAATGTCACAGGAAAGGAGAAAACTGCATTATTAGTCAGACACTCCAATCACCGAGCCACCCAGGCCAACAACCCCTGGTCCATACAACCCAAACCACCACATTATCAAACCATGGTCATGGCACCGAACGTAACAAGAAAGGAGAAAATGTGACAGAGCAGATAAGTCAGGTGCTCCAATCACTGAGCAAACCCCACCCACCCCCACCCCCACAACCTTTAGGCACAGCACAAAATGTAACAAGAAAGGAAAAATAAGAAAAAAATGATGGCAGAAATCTTCCCACTGTACAGTATTTCAAGTGTGCACAAATAGCTGACTTCAACAACTTGTCTATGTACCACATGTGGTAAATGATAGTAAAAAAGAAAAAAAAAAACGCATAAAAACGTGAAACTTAGTTTAATTTTTATAATAAATACATATTTAAATGTTGAAACAAGATATATACATAATAACACAAAACAGCTGTGGTTTGTATAGAAAATATGCTTTATTCTGCATTTTAAATTGCAGTTCAATGTACGGTACTAAAAATATAGTTTAAAACCAGCAGTCTTGCTTTATCAATTGCATGTAATGCGTTGTTAACACAGCTTAGCATTGGCAGTCTCTGAAGAAAATGAATAGCATAAAAACAATACATCAGCATCAATTGTAATTAAACATTTACAATTTCTTATCACAGCAGCGTAATATAACAGAAGGTGATGGAGCATCAAAATAGATGTCAATACAGCAGATATTATTCATTTCTATACAGTGTATTTAGTTTTGACATGTTATAAATCTCGAACATAAACCACAAAGCACCAAACAGCACTCGGTCTTTGCTTGGTATGGGTATTATTTTGCTTTGATAAAAATCTCCATTTAAATTTTTTTTTGTTTTAAAATGTCAATTATGCTGTTCGTCCTAGGTCATGTGATCCTAACGCGTCGTATCTGATTGGTGAGTTGAAGCAGCAACATTTCCGCCATTGTTTTCCCTCATTTTTATTGTGTGCTCAATCAAAGAAATACACACAAAGACCCAGTTGTACATATTCTGAGCAGGAATGGATCCAAATTTTCCAACTTCTCCATGGGGTACATCTATATAAAATAATATAATGATAATAATTGTATGTTCTATTCTGATATTCAAAGGTTAGTATGTTAACCATATCAAGGTTCTGAGACATTTAAGGAAATACAAAATATTTATTACCATTTGATGATACACAATTTCCCTTCCATGAAGTAATTTTAAAAATGATGAAATGTATACAGTATAAGTAAAAGGCACCTTTTAAGAAGACTTCTAGTTTCTCTGGTGGTATGAGAGCGTGGTCACTGGCTGCTGTTGGGTCATACTCTGTTATCTTCTGTAGCAGTTCATTGTTGACATACTACAATTAAATCTTTTACCATAACAAGACATTCAATAGAACAGGAAATAATAGAATCATTAATTTCTGCAACTGACTCTTTCAAATCTAAATGTCTAAAAAATAAAAGTCGCTTTTTCCATAAAGAAAGTGATTCGCAAGATATTGATCAAGGTTAGAAAAACTCTTTGGCAACTAGTGTATTTTTCAGTTCCATCAAGACCAAAAGAAATCAGCATACAATGACTTACATTTCTTAGATTGGTCCAATCATCCACTTCTCCACTTTCCACCTGGTCCAAGTGGAAAATGGCCACCACAGCCTTGACAATGTTCTGCACTATCTTGGGAGGCTCATTGTAGCTGCGTAATTCAGCAAAGGATTTGGCATCAATCTTGGAGACATTCTCTCTGAGTTCCATCAGCATCAACCGGTCAAACATGATGTCCATCCTACTGTCATCATCCTTTTCTGCCTCTGTAATTATAAATCAATAAAGTAATTTCACCCGCTATACAGCTAACTAATGTACTATCAACACATGGTTTTGAATTACCGTAAATGAACATGCATTGTAATCAAAAGTCTGAAGTACAAAATTTCCATTCATATTTCAAAGAAACATTCTGATTTATAGATAAATTGATAACAAGATTTTGTACGTTTATTTTAAGCAAAACAATTTTGAAGAAACAAGGGAGATAATTGTGCAATTACCTAGAACAACAGTTTTGTCCACTTCTCCTGAGAACTCCTTGGTGATCTCTTTGTGAGCCTGGTTCAGTAGTTTCAGCATTCTCTGAACCTCTCTGTTCTCATGTTCTGGTAGGTTCTTTAGCTCTCCTATACTGATGTCTACCACAGCCACTGCTCTCCCTTGGTCATCACGGAGAGGGAACGCTAGGTGGCGTTGTCCATAAGCATCTGCTGACACAGTTTCAGAGTTGTCCACACATTTGAACAAATAATCCCTAAAAGTAACATGTAAGTTACAATAATTTTTTTTTGTAAATTATAATATCATAACACTAAAAAGGGAAGCAAGTTAAGAGAACTTATGCATGAAGAAAATGTAAAATTGAAGATTTTTGCAAAAGTATTAACCACACTTAATGTTGCTGTCTAGTTTTCTCTTTGTAGACTATAAGCTGCATAATTATTTGAATATGTAAATTTTAAAAAGTTTCCAAGGAAGTTAAACCACAGAAAATTAGCTGCATATCCAAAGATTAAACAATGGCATCACCTTGACCCTAAAACCTTACCTAAACAGATTGTCTTTTCTCTCCAGCCTGGGGGGGCTCAGAAGGTTCTGCACATTGCCTTTCTCGTCGGTGATCATCATCTTGCGGAGAATGTAGTCACCTTGGTCAGTACCTGGTTCCACCATGTACGTCACAATTTCCTGTACGTGGGGACTTCGACGATGGATCCAGGACACTGCACTCTCGGTGATTCTCAGTAGTTTTTTCTTCATGTCTATGTTGTGGTATGAGATACTGAAAGATTTGGCCACTCCCTGGAGAACATCAAATCAAGACAATTTTAATTTTTTTTGCAAAATATGTATTATCGTACTTAAGTTTGGAGGACAAAATATTATCTACTGAGTTATTCTGGTTTGATGTAAATTTCATCAATCTGAAATCAACAAGGCACATCCTGAAATGAGAATTTCTTAGTGAAAACATTATCTTAGGTATAGTTACACCCAGTAATTTTATGATGACAAAGAATGTAAGTGGTGCTAAAATGAACCTTTTCCCAAAGCTTTTTCTCATATGCCATTAGCTTTTGTCAATAATCATACTATTAGTTATCATCCAACCTTCTCCAAATACATGTACATTTGTATTTAAAAAGAAAAGTTTCAGTAAGCCGTAGGAATTAATACTGTAAAATCACTTATTTTCGAGGGATAAAATTTTCATGGTTTGAGGAACAAATATTGATTTGTGGGGATTTGATTTAGTGGTTGGTAGACAAATATAATACCAGTTTAAAAATTTTAACATTTTGTGGAGGACATGAATTCATTATACCATGAAAACAAAGAAAAATTAAACTTGCACAATAATAAGTGATTTCACAGTAATCCAATTTGAAATATATATTTAAAAAAAAAAGACTACATATGTATACCTGGAAGAACTGGATTTCATGAGTGATGAAGATGGTTTTGGTGTGGTGGTCATTCATGGTGTCAATTCCAAGCAATCCAAACACTCTCTTCCTCTTGTCCTTTAATGGCACCACAATGAAGGACCCCTCCCTGTCCTGTTAAAATTCCACAAATGGTCAGAAAAAAATATTATGATGACTAAGAATGCAATATCCATGTCCCATGTATTTTTTTCAAATCAAGGAGTAGCATTTTTGGCTATTTATAAGATTTTGTATGACTTTACACAATTCTTTTTTTTTTACCTCTGGAAGTCTGTAGGGGTTCCAGAACTGTATATTTCCATGGTTTGCCACTCTGGGGACATGGATTGGTTTACCACTCTCCACAGCAGCAAAACTACAGTAAAACATGGCATATGAGAAATGAAACATAACATAACAGGTACAGGTTCACTAACTTAACATCAGTTTATACATAATCCTGACAAAACAAAGTAAGTTAATTTCTAGTACATACCTGATGCCTTTCATGTCTTTATACAGTATTTTTCCTAAGAGGTAGTCAGCGTCCTCCATAGTGGCTGCCACGTAACGTAAGCAGACATTGCCTCTCTCTGGATCTGCTGTGTTTCTCTCCAGCATGGCAATGTTAGCACTGATTCTCTTCCCTCCACCATGGGCCTCAGCATCCTAGAAACAAATGCAAATCTGTCTTATATCATTTATGGTATGGATGCCCTCACTCAAAAAGATGAAGAAGTACAGCATTATTCAAAAAATTATTTAAAAAAAAAATTAATGTTATTCAGAGAAAATACAGAATACTGGTAAATTCTGCCCCATTCTATTTTATTTTATTTTCAGGTCTGTCTGTCTTCAGTAGCTGAATTCATAATTACCAGTAAGCAAATTAAAACAAAGTTATCTCCCCTTAACACAATTTTTAAAAATGGGCTTAAATCATTTACAAGTGTGATTTGGTGAAAAAATGGGCAAAAATAACCCTATATGCAGTACATACATAATAGTTACTATTATATAAAGAACACTCCCACAAAGTTTTTCTCCCTTCGAATTTGAAATGAATATTTTTGAATACTGTTCGTTATCTCCATATTTCATTGCATACCTTATACAGGGCATTGAATACAGCTCTGTACACTGGTTCCATGCTGGCTCCGCCAGTTTCTGCTGCGGTCACTATCTGCTGAAGCCACTTCTTCCTGGCGTCACCACGGATCCTCTCAGCATATGAACGCTGTGGTGAATCGATTGGTGTGAATAAGCAAATGCTTTATCGTATACATGTACACAATTAGAAAACAGGTGACTTGACACTTTTAAAAATCAAAAATATTCTGTTTTGTCTAAATCTCCTTCAAAGTTTGTTTTTCCAATTTTATTTTGATAAACATTCAATTACATCTCTAAAATCACAATCCTTAATCACTACTAAAGGTAATTATTTCTTAAAAAAAAAAAAAAAAAAAACAAATGTTCCAATACCTCTACACTGTTGACTAGGAATTCTACAAAATAATCGAAAGAATCTGCCCCCGGCATCTCATCCACCACCAGCTGTACAAAGGTGCGGAACTCTCTCTTACTCAGTCGGTTATCTGCATACTTAGACTGCTTCTTCAGGGTAGCCTTGGCTGAAATTTATAAAAAGTTGTTCAGATTTTACTGCATGAAACTTATTCTAGTGTATTCAAATTGGAGCACAAAAGTAGGTCACACACCATTCACGAATTACATGTTAAATTAAAAAAGTTTACATGTATCAAGTGTTTAAACATATCAAAATAATGAGAGTGACCATGAATTAATGCATGATAAGTAGTACTTAATTAAGAATCTTTTGCAGTGGGTACTTGTTACTTACCCCTTTGTATGGCCTCTGTCTCTTGTCCCTCTTTGTACTTCTGCATCACAGTTTCCACATCCTCCATGTCTAGATAGCCACATCCATCATTGTCCCACTTCTCAAACAAGGAGTCCATCATGTGTTTCCTCTGTGTGGACAATGCCTCCTTTCTAGCCTGTAAAAAGGATTGATTTTTTTTTCATAAACAGTAACAAAATCAGTCTGAATTAAATCATATGTTAGTGTATTTGTGCACTTACAAAAATTATTAAATGGGACATATTCAAATGAAACCGTTTCAACCAACTTACAGCAACTCCGATATAAATTTCACATTTGTTATATAACCCATATCTTTTCAAAATCTTGCTCCTATGTTATATCCAGGGCATTAAAAAAAATGATGGTATATCAATGCTTATTCAGCATGTAATCAATATTCCTCAAAGTAAAGATTTTATCTTTTGATGAAATAAAATGAAGCTTTTTTGTTTTTATGTTACCTTCATCAGTCGCTCCATTTTCTCTTCCTCTGTTTCCTCGTAGCCATCTTTAACATATTTGGTCAGCATGTCAAAAGCTTCTTTTGTGGGCTCATTACCCAGGAAAGTCTCAGTGAGGGTCACAAACTGGGAAACATTCAGCGAGTTCTCGTCAAAGGCTGACTGTCCTGATCCCTTGCTCATTGTAGTCAATGCTGATAAAGGATTTAAAAAATAATTAAATGAGGCTATACTTATGGACATTAAACCATTATTATTCTAGATAATTAATGGGACCCTTGTTTGTTTGTTTGTTTCTGTTTGTTTGTTTGTTTGTTTGTTTGTTTGTTTCTGTTTGTTTTTTTGTTTGTTTCTGTTTGCTTTTGTTATGATATAGTGGGTAATTCTATCAAAGGGTGATAACTCTGCAAATGACTTGCTATATTTATCTTAAAAACTCAGTTGGTTTTCTTTGCAAGTAACAGACAACACATTTTTTCTCTTTTCTTTGTTACCTTGCTTTAGAAGTATTAGAGCAGTAATTAAGGACTTTACCTGTTTTCTCTCTATGAAAAGTTGTGTCAGCAGCAAATTTGACATTGCTTTTTTCTTCCTCAGTAGCTGTTGTCACTGAAGATGGAGCTGCAGATGTCTTAGTGGTATCCTTTCCTAGTAAACAATTTGAATATTTTTTTTTCAGTCTCTAGAAAGATTGCAGATGCAGAAAATAGACAATTAAGGTATGTCACTCGTGAAATTTCTTATATCAAGGATTTTTTGAGAAGTATATTTTGGATAAGTACTCATATAGTATGACTCAAAATCGCAGAGAAAATGGGATGTCAGTGTGCATCTAACTGAGCTACGGTACAATTAAGTTGACCTTTTTGCACTTAAATTGTAATTCTTTGGTTAATCACTTTAACCGTTATCATATTTTATCAGATGTAACCATGGCAATAAACATAATCTTAATTTACGTAAAATAGTTTGAATAATATTTATCATTGAACAAATCATGCAAATTAATGCGCGTGAATTATTGTGTGACCTTTTTGCACTAAAAAAGTCTCATATTTGGGGTATTAAAAATCTAAATAGGCAATAGAATATTTTCTTGTATCAAACTTTTAACGACTTAAGTGCTGATCGGTCAAAAGTATCTAGTAGTTTAAAATAATGAAAGAAAAAGTTGGGGTCAGTGATGTAAATTTTGAAATATTGGTCAAAATATGCGATTTTCTGGCAAAAAACTGTTTAAATTTTATCTTGACTTCTTTAATATATCTTCATTTCTTGGCAAAATTTGTTGAGCAAAGGTGTAAATTTTGTTATAAAAATATAAATTGAGACCTTTATTTAATATTCCAGGCATATCATAACGGAATATATTCTCTGAGTAAAAGTATGTGAGGCTAAAGTTCTAAGATATTAGATAAAATAAATGTGTAGATTTGCAGAAATTTCTGCTAAATATCCTTCCACCACAAGAAATAGTCCCTTATAAATCTTGTTTCTTTATGAATTTTTGAGCAGTTTTTTAATTGAATGTTGAACATTTTACATTGTTTAATTTAAATATGTTATAAAGATTGAATTGTAATAAATAGTTTTTGAGTTAGAGGTTCTGACTGAACTTTTCTTAAAGGCTGACGAGTGACATACCTTAATACTAAGTCTAGTGGATACATCTGTACAATCTTTGCCTTTGATTCATAATGAGATTCCGATTACATAAAGCAGTATTTCCAGACTATAATTTGTTACACTCTTGAGTATAATAGATCAAGGCAACTGAAAGTCACAGAACTGAACAAAAAGCATGCAATGCAAAGAACAAAAAAATTACAAATGCTTCTGGGGAAACAAACCTCCATCTACTCCATCTGAGGAGGTCTCTTTCTCAGGTTTTGGAGGCTCTTCTTTTTGTTCTTTTTCCTCTGGTTCAACTTTGAGTTCTGACTTTTCTGGCTCTGGTTCATCAGTTTCCTTCTTTTCCTCTGGTTTTTCCTCTGTAGGAGGAGGAGTAGCAGGCTTGATCTCTGCTTTTTCCTCCTGTTTTGTTTCCTCTGATGGCTGTTCCTCTTTTGTTTCCTCTGTCTTGGCTTCCTCTGCTGGTTTTTCCTCTTTCTTTTCTTCTTCCCCTGATTTTCCTGCAGACTTATCTTCAGTTGTTACTGTTAATACTTCTACCTCTGGTTTTCCTGGTTCCTCTGGTTTAGGAGAAGGTTCTGATTTTTCCTCAGCCTTTTCAGCTGGCTCAGCAGCAGGTGGTTCAGCTATGTCTGGTTTCTGCTCTGGTTCAACCTCGTTTGTAATTGGTTTACTTTCAGCAGTAGTGGCAGGGATTTCTATTTTGTCTTCACTAGTTTGTTCGGTTTCCTCTGGTTTTTCTGGTGCTGGTTCAGCTGGTGTAGGTGATATAGATGCAGGAGTTGGTTCGGTAACTAATTGAAGCAGGTAACAAAACATGCAGGGAAATGTTTCAACTTTCAAAAAAATTTGCCAATATATTAAAGCATCTCAGAGAAATGAACTTTTGTTAAAAATTATTTTCTAGATTTTTTCCTTCAATACTTCTGACCATCTTGGTCAAGGTATTTTAAAATCAGTATCAATTAATTAAATCATTTAGCTTTGTGTATTTGTTCATCATACTCCATTTGATGCTCTAACATAAAGCATAAGTAATTCAATGTACACATTTGTGGGTTATGGCAGTAAATGATAAAATGAACAAATGCAGATTTTACAAGCAAAGCAGGGTGCATGGATTGAAGCCTCACCAAATACTGATTAAATAAATCACACAAGATAAAGCTCACAAATTATTTTTTCATGTCATTTCACAGATTTATTAAATAAGAAACATTATAAATCTCATGTTAAAATTTTATAACATTAAATCGAATTTGATATTTTTTTATGTATATTCAGGCCAAGTTTGCAACCCATTTTACATATAACTCCTACTTCCAGGAAAATCTACATTTATATAATTATGAACAAGAAAATAAATTAATCCAATGAAATAACAAACAAGAAATAACAATAAACTTTACAGACCTGTTGGAACAGTAGTGGTTTCTTCTTCATCATCAAAAATATCCTCAACTTCATCTACCTCTGCAACAGGCCCTAGAACAATAAAATCATTCAAATAAAATTTTTGTTACAGGACTTCCATTTGTTGAACAAGGCCTTAGAAATGTCCTATATAGCACATCACTAGAAGAAATTCTGGTGAAAGACATAGTTTCCCTTTGAATATATAAATACTATAATAGTGTCTGCATGGAGAGTGAAAGGGTTGTCAGGGGCATATAAAGGATTACTCTATACCACAGAATAAACTTTCTATACAATAGAAAAAATATGTATATATACTGTAAATTTGTGTGTAAAACCCAAAGCACTCTGATTCAACAAACAAATTCAATGATAAACCTCTACTCAAACTTCTTTTATTACACATGTTTCCTTAATATATTACAGGTTTTTCTTGCTGATTTTTCTTCTGACTTACATCTGCGAGGGTTCCGAACATTTTTCTTAATGTCTTCTTTAATGGAATCCCAGAATGCCTCAAAAAGGCTAAGGATTCTGTGTCTGTCTAGCAATCCAATCTGAAGAACAAATTAAATATTGTTTTATTTTCAACTGTATTTAACATTCTAAAGAGAGAAAGAGAAAATTACAGGATAAAATTTCACTACAGAGCTATCCCTAGGCTTTTGACTTACTCCACTGTGATCACACGTAATGAAGAGGTTCGTTAGCACAATTCTCCTTTGCTCTCTGTTGGCAGCAGCACGATGAGACTCAGCACACAGAGACAAGTGCTGCATGAACTGCTCAAAGACCTCATAGCTGAAGTCGTCCACAAACATTGTCAGATACTGAAAAATCAGAAGTCTAACTTAAACCCTTCACAAGAAGAGTGGCTCAATAAAATATATTTAGAAGAAATACTTCTGAAGAAAAATCAAATCTATTTCATAATTATGAGTGTTTAGTATAAACTGTTTTTAATACTATCTACTTTTCCATTTTAATTTCCAAACCTTAGCAAATTCCTTGACAGACAATGCCTTTCCTGACTCATCGGTTGGTTCCAGAGCTCGACTGAGTTTAAATCCATCTTTCAAGTCTTCTGGGAAACTTTCTGCTATTTCAGCAAATGAACGTAGGGCATTTTGTACCTAAAAAAATTTAAAAAGAAAAATTAATAGATTATTCAAATGTAAGTAAACAATATATATTGACAGTTTTCTATTGTTTGTGTCTCTCTTCTTCTTTACTGCTCTAAACAATTCTTTTAATGTTGTTTTGTGCATATATTCTAAACTTGAGATACTGGCCCAGTGTTGTTGATGTAATGCCTTATATAATGATCGTGCTTATTGATATTAGGTTTTTTTTTTTTAATGGAAGTTTAATTCAGTCAATTTTCAAAACAGTAAAATTGGTTTAAGACAACAAACCAAAGGATGGACTTTATATCTGAATAGACTGAAAGATTTTTTTCATTTTTCTCCCATCATAAAGTCTAATAATTTTGTTTATACCAGAGACAATTCTACTCTGCTGTCGGGCTGGACATGCCATTCCTGGAACTGTTTCATAAACATGGCTTCTCTCCTATCTCTCTCTTCCTGTTTCACTCTCTCCAGACGATCTCTCTCTTCTCGACGTCGCTTGGCTTCAGCTTTTATTCGTGCTAATCTGATTGTGTTATGATAAAACTCATTGATAATACCCATTGAAAAATTCTTGCACAACATTTTTAGTGACAAGCTGTACAATTTATAAGGTTTTAAATGATATTAGAAAAATATTAGTATAATTATAATATGACGTAGATACATTAACTCTCAGGGTTTTGGGGGCTTCTTTGTTTGTTTTTTGAATTGGTTTTGTTTTCGTTTTTTTAAATCATACTTACTAATAAATACACATTAAGTTTGAAATATAGAATCTGATGGTTAAATGATTTACACTGAATTATATCATTACCTATTATCTTCAATGTTAAAGAGCTGTTTCTTTAGCTCCTCAGAAACTTCTCTAATTCCTCTTACATAGGGTGAAGCCTCTGAGAAGTTACTATATTTAGGGTTGTTTCTCATCATATGTTGTGCTAAGAAATTAATTGGGTTAAAGTCTGGATCTTCCATGTTCTCGTCAGTCAAGCCACGTTTATCAGCTTCTGATAATAACTTTTCAACTCCAAGGATCAGAGTTGGTAAAACTTTGTCAACCATGTATGTTCTTACTTCTAATGTAGCCTCATTGTCATTTAACCAATCTCTTGCAAGAATCTCAATGGGGATTTTGCGAGCCAGTTTCTTGGCATTTTCTTTTGAGCTTTTAACTTGCTGTTTTTTGTCATTACGCATTCCAACTAGTTTTTCCATCATGCTTTGTTCATGCATTCGTTTCCATCGCCTAACAGCACTTCTGACAATGGGGCGAGAGTAATCTGTGGGGGATTTCTTTCCACTCCCTGGTGCTGATCTCTGTCCCGTGGATCCAGCACTACGCGGGGCAGCCATGGTTACCCGTTTGGTAGGGCTTCCTGGTTTCTGAACATCAGCCATTTCTATCAGGCAATGAAAATGTATACAAATCAATGCAAAGATTTTTTTTAACTGCAAGAAATTTATAAGACACGTTTTGTATGGCCATATATTTGTGTTAAGCACCAACAGGTAAATCGGCAAGTGCTTGACTTCTGATAATTTTAATGTATCTACATATTTGCAGATTCTTGAACAATAAGAAAGGTTACCAACCTGGAATTTCTTTTATGCAAAATGTATAAAGTTTTTCACATTTTGTAAATAGTTGTTAGTCCTCCATTACTCGTTGCTAGGAAGGAAGTCTTTGTCTATCAGACGCTTTAGTCAGGTGCTCGGTTTCCGTGCATGCGTAACCTCAAACGGAACTTGTGAGTTTCAGGAAGAGAACTGAATCTCGTTTGTTTTTGTTTTGGCAAACTTCACTGTCACTAGTGTCAGGCACATTTACTTAAATGATGTGAATACCATTTTGCGAAAAAGAGGAGGGAATAAATTGTGGAAGATGGCTCTTGTGACAGTTCAAAGATCTCCAAGCCCCAGTAACAGCACTGCAGAATCGGTAAATGACAATTTCTTATTGTTTTGTGGAAAAGGGAGAATGTAAATCTTCTGCAGTTTTTCAGACACAAAGTTAAAATAACCCATACACAGGTGAAATGACACAGATAGTAGGTGAGCTTTGAGTGATACAAGGTTACTGTGTCAATTTGGAAGTATCAATATGACATGATAATTGATATTGACAGGAAATGGTGTGTACTGATTCACAGAAATTTGATAGTGATATGTGGAATAACAATTGTTACTATAAACAGTAAATATTACTTTTAGTTCTTTGTTTGGCTTTACTGGAAAGTCTGCTATAAGAGTAAAAGTTTTATTGCACAAAAAGAGTTTTTGATTAAAATGATGGGTAATTTTTAGACAATAGTTTTGAGGTAATGCTGGTACTTTAATGCATTTTGATATAAAGATTTTCCATTCACTACTTTGTAATTAAGAAAAAAATCGAATTGTCATTTTTTTTTAAGCAAAGAACATTAATGAGAGGGGATGTCTCCCAATTTCTTTAGATGTAGCTGCAGATCTGTAGCTCACAGTCTGAAAAAAAAATGGGATGGATGAACAGAGAGCTACATGCAGTTTCAGTCATTCAAAAAAGTGAACACAATTCTCAAGTTATATCTTTATGTTTTAGCTGCCATCTCAATGTGTTACTAACTTTGTTCCTAACTGATTATTTTACTATGTACTTCAACATCATTCTCCCACAGTTGTTTTTAATGGCTCTCCTAGGCTTGATAATGAAACCATCAAAATATTGCCTGTTCATACTGCCAATTTTTTCTGTCATTGGATGGGTGTTTATTTATTTTAGATTAACAATGACAAGGAGGGGAACATAAAGATCAATATTGAAAAGGATATATGCAATATCCTAAACCATATTTCTAAAATCTGGGGCTCATTGATTAAATTGTTATAGTTTGTCTGTATGTGGATTTTATACTCTAGGACAGGAAATATTATTCGGAGAAATATTTGTTCTGTCAGATATTTGAATTTACATAGTTTAGCATGAACAGTGCATTCAAATGCAAACAAAAGTGTTACATAATTCACTGTTCTGATAATTCCAAATCCCAAAGCGGTTCAATTTGGTGCCAATAGTCACACATTCTTTGTAAAAGTAAACAGTTTAAATGAAAGAATATGGGTTACAAGCCACTTCGATTAATTTTCCTGTATACTCATAAAACTGCAAAGCTTATGATAACCAAGCTTTTATACTGGAACAACAAAGGAAGAAATATTTCATTCTAATGAATTGTAATGAGGTGAAATTTACATGCATATACCAGTAATTGTGCAGTCCTGATGAATGTATGTCTCTCCATGTTTTTGAAAGCAGATTGTGTATAGAAATTCACATATTTATATTTATTGCAAGGTCATACAATCTTCTCTCTGTTCAATAATCAATATGATGGTGCATGTTTGAACATATTTTTCCAATTATTTTCAACAGGAGGAGGTGGTATCCGAAGATGCAGATGAAGTCGACGCAGCAGGAAAAGCAGCATCACCCCCTCGACAGCGCAGGTCAGTGACAAGTACAACGTACTCAAAGGGAAGAGGGGACTTGTTCACAGTGTAAACTATTTCTAATTTCAAGAGTGGCTGATTGTAGACTGCTTACAGTATTTGAACTCATGCTATTGGGGTGACTAGCTTACACATCCTGAGAAAAACTTTAGATCATATATGTTTACTGAATGTTAAGGCTGTGCAATAATAATTTTCAGTTATAATCTTTAGGGTTTTCAATTAAAGGTCTTAATTATTATATAAGAGGAAACTATACAGTTCCAATTGTCCTGTTGTCTGGGTACAAGGGTGTTCACCTGAGAAGGCTGTATGTATTGTAATCTTACTCTGTTTATGTAAACGAGTGAATTAATACAAGATATTTATGGAATGCCAAGCATCCTTGTTGTCATACAGTCTTTATCCTTGTGCTCCTAAAATTTCCTTTCTGACCTAAATTTGAGAAATAGCTATAAATTAAAAAAAAAAATAGATCACATTAACTTACTATGCTTAGTTATCACTGGCCAAAAATAATGCACCAGTATGGCAGTACAAAGGGTGATGGCTCTCAGCTGTCACAAGATGCATTGTAATTTAGTTCTGATATAGGGAAACACAGCTGAAATTTTGATATTATAATGTAAGGATTGAAGTACCTGGATATACTAGATTTAAAAAAAAAATTAGACCATGAGGACCAACAGATAATATCAAAGGGACATTATTACATACTGTAAAAGAATATTTCTGGCATACAAAATGAAATGCCTCACTATAGTCTACCCCTTTTCTCTCTTCTTTCACACTAAGTGTTATATGAGATTATTTTTTGATATATGAAATTTACCACAATTCGTATATTTCTTTCTTAAGATTTTATCTTGTATACAGCAATCTGCATATCAAAAAATGTAATCATAGAGTGAAGTGTATTGTGGCATTGAAGAAATTGCTGATTCAGAAACCAAAGATATTGAATGTAAAGATATTCTTGTAAAACTTAATCATCAAAATCTAGTCAAGTGTCATATACATGTACCGGTTTTTATATTTTTAAAATGAGGAGGTCAAGAAGCTGGGGGACTCATCCTTACTTTAAAAAAACCTTTTACATTTTTATCTCATAAACTCATGAAAACATTTTTGTATCAATTATTTTTATTTCACAGTTGTTTCTAATCAGATCTGAAATTAGCCCAGAGTTAAATAAAACCAAGGTAGATCTCTTTTCTTCAATTTGAAACATATGGGACAATTTCCTTAAATTGTCACGATTGTTATTGTACCTGGGTGGGACAGGGCTTCATGTTATTTCCTTTATTGTCCAGCCATAAAATGTCATTTTCCTAATGTCCCATGATTATTGACTCTATCATTTGGATAAAGAAACTCCCTGACCTATTATTCTCAAGGACAGATAATTTCAATCTTATGTCAACCACCCCACTTCAAAATGCACAAATTTTTATCAAGCATAAATGCAAACAAATATTTAAAAATCAATATATCTCATTTAATGCTTTGGTCTTGTTTTGCTGTAATGACAAATTCAAGTTCAAAGTTTTATGACCATCTATTAAAATGTAATCTGTCTACTTAATAATACTGATTAAAAAAATTTCTCAAAAGAAATGGGTATTTTGATGTATTCTTTAAACTTCACTTATTGGAATGTAGAAATATTTTTAAAAAAAATTAAGAGATAGAGTGTATGCGCCTAAGCAATGAACTGTAAACAGAGAAATCCATTGAACATGTTGAATTAATTTAACTATTTACACATTATTTTCAAATCTGTATTTGTCGTGTTTCACCTGAAAAAAGAAACAAACATCTTTAGAGGCTATTGAACCATGTCTTATCTTGGATTTGTATCATGGAAGTCCTTAAAACTCATAGTACCAGAAATAGAAAAACATGCCTCCAAGCTAAAGAAAGCAAGGGCTGGTTGGTTGTTGCCCAAATGTGTATCATTAAATTTGAACTCCTAAACTGGTGTTTGGAATTAAATTGTCAATTGAGAGTCATTGACAGCGGAGTCCAATATTGTTGAATTATGCAGTAAATGTCAGTTTGTATGCAGTGGTAGACTTTTGAACTTTGCGGCTGTTGGCACTCTGTAATGGCATTTATTGTCTTTTTGATGTGAGAGAAAACAAAGGATTTTAATGATAAGTCTGTGGATCCTATTAAAAATTAAACAAGCATGTAATCTTGTCGGAGGATGTGGTTAAGTGATTAAGGCAAGAGATTCCGTTGGAAGGGGTAATTGGAGTATGTTTTTGTATGAAGTTAAAAATCCAAATGACAAGTAAAATTTTTTTCATGCTTTTCTTTATTTCATAGTATACCAAATTTATGAATTCTTCTTGAACACAGCATTGTTGCCCTTTTAGCTTCAGTACATGTACAGATGTATAGTTATAAGTACCGGTACATTAATTTCTTGGTACTATATAAGATTTATTCAAAAAGCAATTGTTGTACTAGTATAAAAACTTTCATGTGTGTGAAGTTTATTTCGGAGGAATTTAATTAAGTTTGAAGGCTTATGATATACATATGAAATGTTACATAACTTGCTATGCAAATCTTTCTGATCAATATCTCAATTTATGAACCCCACATAGACAATTGTATGAATGCATTCTTCAGCACCATTATTTACATGTGTGCTAGCTATGCTGTCTGGACAAATATTGACCAATGTCTGGGAGCAATTGGAAGGAAACCATAATTGGCCTCATTTTTAAACCTTTTCTAAAATAGAAAGAAAATTAACTTTTTAGGTCACCTGAGTCACTCAGGTGACCTAATGTTATCCGTTTTTGTCTGTCGTCGTGCGTTAACTTTTGAACATTTTCAGCTTCTTCTCTAAAACCGCTTAACCAATTTCAACCAAATTTGGCATATAGCATCTATGGGTGAAGGGGAACAAAAATTATGAATTTCATGGTCCCTGCCCCCCTGGGGCCCCGGGGGTGGGGCTAAAACCACCAAAATTGATGCAATCTTTAAAAATCTTCTTCTTTACTCCTGGACATCAAGCAGTCAAATTGTTGGCATGATTGTAATAAGCATTGGACCCTCTACCTAAATTGTGAAATTCATGGCCCCAGGGTCAGGGGTTCTGGTGCTAGGGTGGGGCTCTATTGATTATATAGTGAAAATGCATTATTTCTTTGAAAATCTTCTTCTCTGCTCCTGGGTATTATTTAAACAAACTAAGTGCATGGTTATGACAAGCAATG